TGTCACAGGCCCGGCCCCACGCAAATCAAAGCAAAGAGCCCTCAGCTCTCCCAACCTGCCAGGCCAGCAATGAGAAACTGGAGAAAACGGATTTGGCAGCATCCGGAGGGCATTAAATATTCATCCCAACTGCCCATCAGCAAAATCCCCGCAGAATACACCCACTGACAAGTCGGCTTTCTATACCGGAGGCTGTCCTCCTAGAAGCTTGTTTATTGCTTTGTCAATTTTAATGTGCAATATATAATGGCCAGACCAAGATAACGGTTGTAAATATTTGGAAAATGAGTGCTGACATTTCCCTTATTGCTTCTGTATTTAGGGATATGTAATTGGAGGGTGTTTCGGGTGCTCAAGAAAATCAGAAGGAAGCAAAGCAATGCTTCAAAATTAAAAGGAAAAATAACTGATTAAGAGCTAAGAATCAAATATGCTGAACTGGCTTAAACGTCCTGCTTAAATGCCCCTTGCAGTGTCACACTCTGCCTTCAATGGTAGTAAAGGCTAAGCTAAATCAGCAAGACAGGAGGGGTGGTGGTGGTCCTTGAAGACTTCCTTATGGGTGTGCATTTGGAACATGAAGCGTGCATCCAGAATGGTCAATAATTGGATCCACAACATGTTTATCACGCCATCCAGCCAGGGATTTCAAAGAAACAAAGAGCCGTGGTGCGGCCAGGTCAGTCGGTGGCTCTGACAAGGACTGGTCTAGGGCACAGAGCATACAGAGTCTTCTCGGGAGCAGATGACACCAGCTGTAGAGAGCTGATAAAAGGACCGCCGTGAGTGAGCCAGCAGTCCCCGGGTTTCTGCTTCACGCTGCTGGAACATGCATATTCAACAAAAGCATCTTCTCAAAGGGCAGGGGGTGGGGCGATGATGTTCCTATGGAAAACACCAGAGCAGGGTTAAGAACCCACGGTTTGAGAGGCACTATGTGGAAGCAGAGTCTGGAAGCACAGTCAAAGGAAGAGAAGCCAGCACGGGATTGAGCTCTGGTGTCCCCAAGCCTTAGAGCCATCTGGTGGCAGAAGTGAGAAGAAACAGAGGTGTTCAAGGAAGCACAATTTAAACTCCTTCACCATTATCAAACTGTGTCTGGGGGAACCTCTACAGGGACTTTGTGATTCCAATTGAAGAAAACAAATTTAAGAATCTGCTAAAGGGGCTCAGGGATGGCAAACCTGAGAGAGAGGGTGGATTAAATCCAAGTATATGTTACCAAAGAAGATTCCTGAGAGGGGGGGAAAATACCATAATAAAATAAAATTGAGAGCCTGGACTCTGGAGCCAGACTGCCTGTCTGGATTTGAATCTCGCCTCTGCCACTTATTATGGATCGCTGGGTAATTTATTTATCCTCTGTGTCAGTGTCCTCACCTATAAAATGGGTGAAACCAGCACCCCCTCATGGAACTGCATGGACTAAGAATGACGAGCGTTATTGTATATGAACCATTCAGGGTGGTGATGGGCACGCCAGAAATGCTCAATAGAGATCAGCTGATATCACTACTGCCATTACTTCTTCTGCCACCAGTAATGAAATACCTCCACACAGCACTCTAAAAAGAGAAACTGCTTCTGAAAATGAGATTAACTGAATGCAGAAAGGATTTTTTTGGGGGGGGTAGGGTTGGGAGGGGGTGTACTATGCAGCATGTAGGATCTTAGTTCCCTGATCAGGGATGGAACCTGTGCCCTCTGCAGTAGAAGCACAGAGTTTTAACCACTGGACCACCAGGGACGTCCAAGAAAGAATACTTTCTGATATAAGGTCTAAAAAAGGCCAAAGTCTCCCTTTCATCCACCCCAACTACTTTTTAAGGCAGTTCATACCTGGATTCCCCTGTTTCCCACTGGTTTTGGACTCTGGCAAGCCCTGACCTCTCGGAGTTTCAGATATTCCATTTATAAAGTGGGCAAGCAGTACTTTCTTCCCAAGGCTGCAGGAAAGGTGACTGAGGGCCATCTACACCAAGTGTCCAATACACACTCCATCACGTGGTCAGCCCTCTGGTATTTTTCCACTTCTACTTTCCCCAAATAAAAGCTCTAGTAACAACCAGAGTGTATGAGGAAAAGAGTAAAAATGAACACAAAGCCCTTTGGAAAATATTAAGTGCTAAGTGCATAAATATTTGATAAGGAGCGATCAGAACACTTAAGGGGGATGTGCCCTCTCTGGTGCCGTAGTCCCTCCCGGGAGCTGCGCACGCTCAGCCTCAGCTCCTACCTTGCTCTCTGCGGCCCCCAGAGGGCCAGCCAAGTGCATTACCATGCACCTCTGAGCAGAGGCCAAGCACCCGGCACTTGCTCCCAAGTCTCCCATGCCAGTCACTGCTTGTTCTCGCTTCATGGTGAAATCACAAACAAACTGACTCAGTGTAAGCCATATGAGAATTTAACATATAGCCCTCAGAGCAGATCCTGGGTCTCCTAACTCTCCAGGGGGCAATAAAATGATGTAATGGAAAATGGAGATACATGGATATCAGAGCAACCTAGGCTCCTTGTTCCAATCTGTTTTCCATCTGACAAGCAAACTGTCCCTATCAGGGCTCCTAAACACTGGGAGCCTAGGTTTCCTCATTAGCAAAATGGGCATAAAGACATCTATACTATTTCACTGCTGGATGAATCTGAAAAGAAAACAGAGGTACGAAGCACAAAGCCTGGCACCCAAGAGGTATTTAGTACATTTCTGTCTCCTTTCCCCTTTAGCTGTTGTTGTTTCAGTCGCTAAGCCATGTCTGACTCTTTGCGACCCCAGGGACTGTAGCCCACCAGGCTCCTCTGTCCATAGGATTTCCCAGGCAAAAATACTGGAGTGGGTTGCCATTTCCTTCTCCAGGGCATCTTCCCGACCCAAGGATCGAACCCACGTCTCCTGCATCCCAGGTGGATTGTTATCACCTGAGAAGCCCTACTTCCCCTTTAGTAGCACCAGAATTAATCCAAATCCAAATAACTAGAATCTTCAATGAATGAATTCCTTTTTCTTTCCTTAAGTACTTCTGTCTTAGCTTCTAAGTAGTAAGACAAACAAGCAAGTATTAGGAATTTATTTGAAAAGGCAGCACCAGTCAAGGTCCTAGGGTCAGTACTTCCTCTGCCTTCTGTAGCTGGAACCACGTGACAGGCAGTGAGGGGGTTCACAATCTGACAGAGGAGACCACCAAGGATGCAATTACTCAGAAAGGCAGACAAGCGGGTCCCTCAGCATTTTCCACAACAAGGGTTCACACAAAACAGGGTCTCTGCTTAACCCCCCATTAACCTGCAAATCCACTTCAGCAGAACAGCCTCTTCCCCAGCATCGTGTTGTTCAAGTTTCGGCTCTAATTGGCCAGGGAACCATCCCATCACTTATCCAAGGCATTCGCTCCAAACCGGACCCTGCTATGGGGCTAGAAGAGGTGAAGGATAAGCCCAGATGTTGCCATTTTGTAACCTCATGTTGCTGAAAATAACAAACACTGTGATCATTTGCAGTGGTGAAGCAGACCAGGTTTGAGCGCACACCATGGCTGCGAGCAACCAGAAACACTCCCTTTGCAAGGTGTTCAAATCATCTTTGCAAAGTGAGTGAGGTATCTCTGCAAAGTCTTCGCAAAGACCCCACCCTTCACTGCATGGCTGCTGGTTGCTCTCCTGCTCAGGGCCAGGCCCCTCCCTCTGCCTGCCACCAACCTAAATGGAGACAGGTACAGACACAGAGAAAACCATAAAAGCAGCACAGACTCACCCTCTCATTAGAGGAAGGGCCTGATTAAGGTGAGAGTGTCTGCACACTGCCCCCTGACTATGGCTCCCCAACTGAGTGTGTCCTTGCAACCTGATGCAAGAGAGATTCCACCTGCCCGGGAGAGGGGAGCTCTCAAGTGCTCAAATCCAGGGCAGGAGGACAGGGCCTAGGTCAAGGAAACAGTGTAGGGGAAAGGATTCAAACATGGCTCCATTCACCAGCTACATGACCCTGGGCTGATCACTTAACCTTTCCTGGGGCTGTTGTGAAATTTCCATAAAATAATCCCAAGCACCCAGTGCAAAGCAAACATTCAGTAAGAGTCTGTTATTCTCCCTTTCGCCGCTGAGGTTCCTGTCTGCAAACAGGGGACAATGGGTACCTTGTTCACATCACTGTGGCAAGGATCATAGGAGATGACATTAAGAGACAGAGCTTTCCACAAAACAGTCAAGCTGGCCTGCATACCTCACGGATATAAACATCTTCACACATACACACAAACACATACTCATACAAGCGACTGGGGAAGTGTCCTGGATTAAAGGAGTCTAGAGAGACATGACAACTAAATACGATCGTGACCCGTGACTCGATGCGGGTTTGGAAGGAGAAAACACTATAAGGGGCATTTTCAGGACAACTGGCAAAATGCTGGTACTGCTCTATAATCATGTCAAATTCCCAGAGTCTGACAACGCTGTTGTGGTTCTAGAGTGTGTGTGTGTGTGCTCAGTCGTGTCTGGCTCTTCACGATCCGGAGCCTGGAGGGCTCCAGTCCATGGAATTCTCTGGGCAAGAACACTGGAGTGGGTTGCCATTTCCTGCTCCAAGGGATCATCCTGACCCAGGGATCGAACCCACGTCTCCTACATTGGCAGGCAGATTCTTTACCACTGAACCACCTGAGAAGCCCGCTATTGTGGTTGGGTGGGACCCAGTCCTGATCTTCAGAGACCCACACTGGAAGTATTTAGAAGGAAGTGTCCTGATGTTGGCAACTTACTCTTAAATGGCTCAAAAACAACAAAAACTGACCCACAGAGGGAGAAACAAACCTGGTAAGATGTTAACAACTGGTCATCACAGAAAGGGAATACGAGTCTTATAGCTTCCTGCACATTTGAAATTTCTCGAACTAGAAAGCTGGGAAATAGGAACAGCCCAGCCAAGGGCTCAGCACTTGACTCGCCCTGCCTCCCTGCATCTCATCAGCCGGAAGAGGCACGTGGGACCCGCCCGGGCCCCTCACCTGGCTGCAGCACCCGGATCTCCAGCAGGTTGGAGGTCCTCTCAGCCAGCCGCGTCCAGCTGCTGTTGTAGTTCTTCCGCCACAGCTCCGCCACACACTGGTACTTGCCCGCCTCCGTGTCGCTGGCTCGGCTGATGCTCAGCCGGACGTTGTTGCTGGATTCTGCCTTCTCGATGGCCGTCCGGGTCCGGAAGCTGGAAGACCTGTCCCCCCACTGGACTCCTCCATCCCGGGTGAAGGTCACCAGATCGTGGAACTCGATGGTGCCCACCGGCTGGAACCGCCACGTCACTGACACGGGGACCCGGGAGGGATAATGGGGTTTGATGATGCACTGCAGGTCGAAGGAGTCGCAATAGGTCACCCCCGGCGTGCGGGAGATGGCAGTGACCGCGAAGCCTGTTTCTGGAGAGAGCAGAGAGAGATAGATAGACATATCTATCTGCATGGAGACAGACACTTGTCTTCCTCAGGGCAGTGGGATGCAGTGACAGGGCTCTTGGCAAAAGCAAACAGAACAAAGGCTCACATACGGGGCTCTTTTTTTGTTTAAATTAATTAACCAATTTAATTGGAGGCTAATTACTTTACAATATTGTAGTGGTTTTTGCCCTAGATGTCCATCGGCAGACGAATGGATAAGAAAATTGTGGTATATATACATGATGGAATATTACTCAGCTATTAAAAAGAATGCATTTGAATCAGTTCTAATGAGGTGGATGAAACTGGAGCCTATTATACAGAGTGAAGTAAGCCAGAAAGAAATATACCAATATAGTATACTAACGCATATAAGCAATTCAGAAAGATGGTAACAATGACCCTCTGTGTGAAATAGCAAAAGAGACAGAGATGTAAAGAACAGGGGGCTCTTTTGATGCCCAGGCCAGTGTTACTTCCGCTAGCGTGTTGACACACAAACCCAACAATTCACAGGACCTCAGAGAAAGAGGCTGGCGGTGATTCTCCTTAAGCAGCACTAGCAAACCCTTCCCAATGAAACCTTCACATGGATTTATGTTACGTCAACGCCCACCCCACCCCTGAAGAGCAGAGACTGAGTACATGGAGGTGGGACCGTCCCCAGACAGCTTGGATTCCATGCTGAAACAGGAGAAAGAAGCCCAGTGCCAATTTTCTTCATGCCCGGCCCATCAGCGCACTTGTGGTGGAGAAGCGGAAGGCAGGTGGGGCAGATGCCCACGCTCCCTGGGCAGGGCAGCTCGGGCTGGCTCCCCAGTCTGACTTCCATCTCCTCATGGAATCCAGGGAAGAGAGGCAGCAAAGGACCCACAGCCGGAAGGACTGATCTTCAGAAGGGGGGACCTTGGGCAAAGAAGGGCCCTGTAGGTGTGCTAGACTAGTCTCTCCATATTCCAGCATCCCTAATCCAAAATACCGACTCCTCCAGATGGGTGATGAGAGTCCTGTCAGCCTTGAGAGTATGACGGACCATCAACACGTTGATTATGGTGCTGAAACTGAGAGCAGCCAGAATTTCCTGAGCACCATCTATGTGCCCAGCATGGTGCCAACTGCTTCACTTTCACCTCACTTCACTGAATCCTCAAAACAACCTTGCCGGACAGGTGGGCTTATCACTCTTTTCTTACAGATGGAGAAACAGAGGAGGCCCAGAGAGGATAAATATATTGCCCACTATCAAGCTGCCAGTAAAAGGCAGTCAGGCTACAAACATGTATATCACTGATTTCAGGGGCATTATTAGGTGGCTTTACTCCTGGGAAGCATAAGGCAGTGGTTAGGTTAAAGGCACAGACCCTGGAGCCAGATGCCCAACTTCGACACTTTCTACTTGTGTGAAGTTGAATGAGTTAATCTTTTGCCTCTATTTCCCTACCTGTAAAATGGGTCTTTGTGGAGATTAAATGAGTTAGTATTTGTAAAATACTTGGAATAGTACCTTCCAAGGTACTATTACAGTATTACTGTATTTTGTTACATATATAGTAATATAGTGATACTATATTGTTACATATATAGTTTGCTTTTTTAAAAAAAAAAGACATAAAGGAAAGTACTCTAAACTCCATTGGTAAAAGACAAGGTACAGAATGAAATCTTTTGGCAGAGTTAGGTCAGAATCCCTTGGTGAGTCCTGGCCGTGGGAACCACAGACATATGATGAATATGAAAAAATTCAGAGGACAGGGACTTCCCTGGTGGCCCAGTGGTTGAGAATCAGCCTTCTATTACAGAGGACTGGGTTTGATCCCTGGTCAGGGAACTAAGATCCCACATGCCATGGTGCAACTAAGCCTGTGCCCCAACAAAGACCCAGAAAAGCCAAAAAGTTAAAAAAAAAAAAAAATATATATATATATATGGTTTTAAAAAAATTCAGAGGACATCCTGATGCTATAAAATTACTTCTAACTCTAACCACCCCTCAGACACTCTTAGCCTCACAGCACAGGAGAGACTCCCCCTGTTGGACACCCAGCACTCTCCTCACAGGTTCCTTTCTCATATGTTCACAGGGGATGCTGAGCAGAGGCTCAGGAATTGAGCTGAACAGGAAACTCAACCACTAGATGAGGCTTCCAGAGACAGAAATCTGAGCTGCATGATGAGCGCAGAAAGCAGGTCAATCTTTGGGATTATGCTTTGGAAAGGAAAAGTAGTTCTGATCTGGGGCGGGTGGTGACACAGGACTTTGGTGAGGGCAAAACCACTCGGGGCTGCCACTTCCAGTGGGGTGTGCCCAGAAACAGCAGCAGCCCTATCGACGAGGAAGGTGGGCATGGTCCAGGGGTGGGATGCGAAATCGCTGAGGACAACGGATGTCACAGTCTCGTGGCAAACAGGAACACCTAACATGACAAGGTACCTTCCCAGCAAAGTAGCTGACTGGTCTTGTAAAATGTAATATACAGATTCTATTAGGCAGATAAATGTTGATGGAAGCCTCTTTAACTACCCCGTGAGAAGGAAATGTAATATACCCTGGTTTTAGCAAATATCAAGGTATCTTAATTTCATGCTAATCAGGAAATGGCTTTCCTTAGGAAGAGCCGTATGGAGGAAAAGATAAAAACACAGGCTTTGGAAAAAATTTTAAGGCAGATTTCTGGTTTCCTGGGTTCAAGACTGTGGGTCTGTCATATAAAAGCTATAGCCCTGGGCAAATGAGTTATCCCATCTCAGGATCTCCTTGTAAAATGACAGTGTTTACTTGTAAGCTAGGTGAGGATTCTAAGGGACAATTTACCTTAAGCGTTTACACTCAGCCAGGAAGGGTAGTAGATGCTAAATAAATGGTGAAAGGTTTTGTCCTACTTTTTTCTGCCAGGCTCTAAACTGCCAGGAGGGCTGAGCCCCTGGAGAGGAGGGCCTGGGTGCAGGAGGGAGAGAACATGCTTCTGTTCTTCCAGGTTAGTTTTAGCAGTGGCCTTTGTTCCTCTACCTGGGACCACCCAGGCCAGAATCCTTACAACTTCATTCCTCCCACCCAGACCCAGGAGTAACTGCCCAGCTGTCACCCGTCCCCTGGGCCCACGATGCTGAACCCCTGCTGGTTCCCTGAACCCCATCCACGCTTTGTCAATGCTTTCTTCAATCAAAGCCTTTGGAAGGTGCCGTCTATTTCCCATGTGCTTCCCTGGGGGCTCAGATGGTATAGAGTCCACCTGCAGTGCAGGAGACCCGGGTTCGATCCCTGGGTTGAGAAGATCCCTGGAGAAGGAAACGGGCAACCCACTCCAGTATCCCGTGGACAGAGGAGCCTGGCGGGCTGTAGCCCCTGGGGTCGCAAAGAGTCGGACACAACCGAGTGACTTTTTCCCAGAAGGGTCTTGATACGGGAGCATCTCCCCAATGGTCCCACCCAAAGACGGCAGAGCTTACTTACCGAGAGCGGTGATGGAGATGGGAGTGCTGGCCCGGCGCTCCCCCACGACCTGCCACTCGCCGTCCACGGCCCGCACCCATTCGGTCACGTGGCAGTCATACTGGCCCTCATCCTCCTTCCTGCTGTTGTAGATGCCCAGGCTGAATGTGTTGGGCTGCACCTGCTCCATCTGGACGCCCCCAAACCTGCTGCGCTCCCAGTAGGACGCTCCGGGCTGCACAGTGCCGTCTCGGTCCAGCCACACGATGTTGCTGCGACGGTTCTGCCGGTCCACTAGCTGCCAGATGACGGAGAAGCGGCCGAGAGGCCGGCCCGCCGTCCGGATGCTGCAGGAAAGGTGCAGATTGTCGCCCTCTAGGATGACGCTGGTGTTGCTGGCCACCTCCACCGAGATGCTGCTCTCTGGGGAGAGGGAGAGAGTGCCACGCTGGGGCTTTCTGGGCTCCACTGTGCCCTGCCCACAGACGTCACAGGAGAAAGGGGTATGAGTGTCCCTCTATTCAGGCACAGGGGACCTGGGAGGATGCATGCTCTCTGATGCTTGCTGCCATGAGTCCTGGCTGGCTCTGGGCTTTGCTGCCTGTGATTTTAGATCTGATAACCTAGGACGGCCTTTGCTGGGTGCAAAGATAACATGTGGGACAATGAGGGCCTAAGACCTGAGACTGGCTCAGAACATAAGAGATATGTCATCAAACATTACCCTTAGGGCATAAAACAATTCATCAGGTACAGTCAGCCCTCCATATCCATAGGTTCCACATAAATGGATTCAACCAACTGTGGATAGAAAAGATTCCCCCCCCAAAAAAAAAAATTTCCAAAAAGTTCCAAAAAGCAAAACTTGAATTTTGGCAAACTGGCAACTCTTTACATAGCATTTACGTTGTATTAGGTATAAGTAGTCTAGAGATGATGAGTGTGGGTTATACATAAATCCAAAATGCCACTTTATATAAGGGACTTATATAACATCCTCAAATTTGGGGTGGTCTTGGAACCAATCCCCCTCAGGGTCTGATGGGATGACTGGAATGTGTTCAGCAGGGTTAAGAATTTTTGACTTGGCTTTTCAGTGAGTTAAATAGCTTGAAAATTCTACTTCACCTAATCTTCCCATCATTGAGGGCTTCAGCCGTCAAATAAAAGCTGAACATTTATATATGTCATTTGAGTCTTTCAGGGCAATACTAGGAAGTAGAAAAAAAAAAAGTGACAGGAAGTACTTGGAGGACAACACGTGCTTTCTTCCTTGGTTGTGAGCAATAAGGCAGCAGCAAAGGCCTCGTTTCACAGAGCGAGTGGTGAGCAACCTTTCAGGCTTTCATCAACACAGAGGAACAGACCAGAGGCAGTGGCCGCCTTCCCATGGCCATCCACCTTCAGCCCAGGGGCTCCACTACTCTCCACCTTGACTTTCTGCCAATCAAACTCCAGGATAAGGATCCCACTCCCTTTATTCCTTCGCTACTCACTCAGCCACCTGACCTCCTCTAGTGGAATTATCTAAGCTCTACATGCCTTCTTCAACGGGATGGGTAGGGAGAGTGTTATTTACATTGTGCAATTTTTTTTAAATTATAAAGTAAATAAGCCAATGTCTATAAATCACCTAATACACAGGTTTTCAAAAACTGGTCATCATGATAATTAATTTTACTATTCCCATTAACTATTAGTTTTTCATAAAGACTTTGGGTATTTTAATCTATCTTGATTATGTATATATTATTTTGTATGATTATCTATAGAGCTCAAAAAGCAAGGTATAAAAAACCAGAAAGTACCAGATTGATTTGGCTCCAATTTTCTAGGCACCATCCACATGAAACACATACAATAATTTTGAATCAATCAATCAATCTAATCCCAGATCAAGGGGCATACCCAATTACTGAGGGTAAAAGCATACCCACAACCATGCATTAGGAATCAATCTTAGCCATGTGTTTTCCTCACAGGCAGAAAGAGGCAAAGATGAGCACTGAGCCCGGGCATGGAGCTCTTGCTACAGTGAACATGTTGGCCACCCATTCTGGATAAGCTTGTTTCACGTGAAAAAAGGTCTAGATGGACAAAGTGGGGAACAGGAATTTTTTCAGGAGCCACACCAAGATGATTCATGGTGATGACAGAGCTCCTGAGTAGCTTACATCTACAGCACTCATGGCTAAAAACTAGGATTTGGAGGCAGACAGACCAGGTTCCAGGCCCAAGTCTACTGTTCCCTAACCCTGCAGTCTTGGGGCTCTTATTCACTCTACACAAGCCTTCATTTCTCATGTGCAAAATGGAAGTACTGACAGTCCTCCTTTTTAAGGTCATGACACTGAGGATCAGATTGGGTAATTATTTTTCATCACTGTTAATAGTAACAATATTCCTCTTTAGATTAAAGACTCATTAATGACTCACTTCCAGTGCTATCAATTCAAAGTGAGAAATTAAAGAAGGGCAACTTTGGCATCAATGGAAAAAAAAGTCTCCTCTTGCCTTAAGCAGAAGAATGACTAACAGGGCACCACTCCCACCCCCTACGATCATCCTAATGGGCTCTCCTATAAGCCCTGGCTCATTTGTTACGAGGGCTGCTGTTTGAGCAAGCCTGAAAAAACCACGCAGTTAGATGTGAAACTACAAGGGGGAAAAAAAAACATTCTGCAGCCCAGGCAAAAGCAAATACAGACACAAAGCTAACTGCCCATTAAGACTATTTACAAGTGTTTCCAGGCTTGAGAAAAAGGCAGCCAGCAATTTAAAACTCTCTGGATTAAATGAAAACTAGGACAGAACTAATGAGAATCTAAGTGCATGGTCAAAACGAAATTCCAAATCAGGAGACTGATGGTGGAGCACAGGCTAAGCGCAGAGCGGTGGATCTGGAGTTAGAAGCAGGTATTTCTAATGCGATGCAAGCTTGACCACTAAACGGAACCAGCTTAGCCACTTCCCTGTGTGGTGCTCTGGTCTCTTCATTCAGAGGATGAACAGAATACTACTGGATTGGAGGGCTGGGAGCAGAGGAGGAGACGATATACGCAGAAGCACTTTGGGCTCTTGGGAGGAAAAGCGCCATTAAAATCCAAGTTTTTATTATCACCATTACCGATGTGATTCACTGTGTTCTTTGGTAGACTTACCCAAGTGGCCTTGGGGCAGGATCTGGTGGTGCTGGGGGACTTTAACTACCCAGTTATCTGCTGGAAAAGCAATATAGCAGGCCACAGATCATCAAACAAGTTCTTGGAAGGGGATGGGGGAAATTGCTTAGTACAAAAAACACAGGAAGGACACAGTGTGGCTGCCCTTCACTGGATCCTTACAGAACAATGAGGAATTAGTTGCAGATTTAAAAGGAGAGAGTCCGTGGTTAAGGCAAGCGCAGACCGACAGGAAAATAGTAAAGAAGGGGCATCCAATTCAACAAATTCCATTCTACAAATATTCAGCAAGCATCTACCCTATGCAAAGCACCATGCTAGGCATTGCAGGGGGGAATAAGAAAGAAAAGAATTTCAAGACAATGAGATGTGTGTCAGAGAGCAATTTTTTAAAAAAATAAGCACAAAAGAAGCCATCCTGTTGGTAAGAAAAGGAAAAAAAAAGAGCGGCAAGACCCCTGTTGTCTGTTTTTTTCTTCACACTTGAACTGCATTAAAAATGTCAAAGTGTAAATAAAAATGTAAAGGGAATCATTACAGGCCTAAGAGACAGAACAGTTTGAGCAGTGGAGAAAAGGGTTAAAGGTTAGTTTAAAAACTTCACCATCTTGTTTAAAATCAGAGCATTCTAAGCTTTCTCTTTTACTAAAAATAAAACTATGAGAGAAATGAGATATTAATAAGGACATGCTGATACTATGAATGATTAAATCCAAGATAAGCAAACATATGCAGTCCCCTAATCCCCCAGTCCTGACTGATACCCACCCAGACAATGCCAGCTACAAGCAGGCAGGGAGCCCACCTAAGCACCCCCGGAAATGAGCTAAGCTTTAAAAGCCTATGCTCCAGGATGATGTGAGAGGTCCCATCCACTGACTTTTAAAAACCCACTTCCATAAGGGAAGAGACAATTAGGGAAATGCCAGTCCCTACACCCTCAAACCCAGAGAGCAAATCTTTGCTAATAATGCGCTTTAGGATTTAAAATCCTCCCATAAAAGACCAACCCTCTTAAGTGAGGTCTCAAGACAGGCACCCACCGATTTCTTCTGGGATTTAATTCCCACATGGGAGCGAACAGCTGTGCTGGAGTCCTGGTTGGCCTCCAAGCTGAGCTGGCACTGTTGGCATTTATACAGAGCTGCTGGCATTCGCCAGCTTGCAAACACACACCTGATGCTCTGCCTACTAGAGGGGGACGGGGTGCTAAGTGTGGGCAGGTGAGCTGGAGAAAGGAGCGGGGGTAACTGGTTTTCTCTGCCAGCTGATTGAACCTGCCCTGCCCTCCCCACAACTCTTCTCTCCTCCCCAGACTTCCCTGAGATGATGCTAGCTCCTGGACCGGACCAGTGGGAGGAGGGAAAGGAAGCGGCCCCTCCCTACACTTACTGATGGGGAGGACGATGATGGGGATGTTCTTGGGACGCTTGCTCTCCTTGTCGATGAATTCCCCAGTTACCGTTTTCTCCCTCTCGGTCACACGGCAGTTGTATTTGCCGCTGTCCTCCTGGCGGAGGTGGTAGATCTTCAGCACGAAGGCATTGTCACCCTCCTTGGCCACTTTGAGCTGGCCCCTGGCCTCCCGATGGGCAAATTCACTGTTGAGGACGGGCACGGCGTTCGGCCCCATGCTGGCGATGAGTGAGCTGTTGAAGGCCCAGGAGACAGCGAAGTAACGGTCGGGAACGTGCTGCGCCTCCAGGATGCATCTGAACTCCACCGGCTCTCCCACCGTGTACAGCCGCTTATCCGTCTCCAGTCGAACAGTGAACTCTTTGTCTGAGAAAACAAATAACAAGGTGGATGCATTTTGGGTGACCAAGGGCCCCCGCGCTCCAAGCTGCATCAGCAAATTCCCACCGTCGCCACCTTCTCACCAAGTTGACTACTGGAAAGGCACTGCCACCCCTGTCTTAAGAGAAAAACTCTCGACTATCTCAGAGGAAACTCAAAGGTAGCCAGACCCAGAAAGTTTAAGAGTCTTGCTAATTCCAATCAAGATGATGCAGCTCTGTCTGCAGCTTATAATGCCTTAGATTACACTCCCAGAGATCAGCAAGCAATATCACTCCTAATTTCACTTTCACAGCAGAGTACAAAGGTCCAACCTTGATCTATATGCCCAGAACTCTGTCAAAGCATCAGGAGTACAAATATTTTCAGTAGATATTATAGACATTACCCTGCTAGACTTGTGAGACAAAATTACCCAGCGGCCCAGGTGCTGACCCCAATCCTAATAAATATCCTTTCTCTCAGTCTATTTATCTATCTGGAGAGAGAAATAAATGTCTATTTATGGAAAGAGAGAAAAATGTCTTCCACCCTCACGTGAATACTGGAAATAAAAAGACAATCCCTAACAAAATTGTATAGGAAAAGTGAAAACGAATGTCTTTTCACCAGTCCATCATCCATCAGATCAAATCTCTAGAAATGGAGGGGGCAAGTACCTACTTCCGCTGACAGCCACATGACCTCTAAAACAGTCAATGAACCCAAGCACCCTTCAAAGAACCAGAAGCTTAATCAGGAACGGGGGGAGGGGGCAGGGCAACGATCAAAGAAGCGCTCCCTGCCACTAACTGTCCCGCACACCAGGTAATGGTGAGTCTCTCAGTGCCGTGAGACAATTATCGTGTCTCACAGGCACTGGTGGCAGGGGATAAAGGAGTGAATGGCTGGAGAAGCTTCTGGAAACAGTCACAGAGCCTTGGGTAGGGGAGGCTATAGCTTCAACCACTGCCCAAGTCCTTCTCTTCCCAGTCCCAGCTCTGTTCCTCTAAAGAGAACACAGAAGGGAGAATCTCATTACAGGGATGTTTGAATTCCTTGTAGAATCATAAGCTCCAGTCTCAACTGTCTTCCTTACACTGGCATTCCCAAGTCTTTACCTCTACTGTTAGGGGCTTTGTCTCATTCTTTTTTTTTTTTTTTTTTGGCGACCCTGTGTCGCATGTGGGATCTTAGTTACCATGACCAGGGATCAAACCCCCACCCCCTGCGTTGGAAGCACAGAGTCTTAACCCCTGGACTACCAGGGAAATCCCACCTTGCCTTGTTCTTATCCCCCATCCCATGCACTATTTAAGCAGATGAGAATCCCACTTCCCTAAAAACACAGGAATCACAAGAACACTTGCTTCCACATTCCTCTTCTCGTTTTGTACCCTCCCATTCCTCAGGCTCTCCATCTCCTCCCTTCCCACCGGAGCCAGTGTCTTGCCCCAAATACCCATTTTCTCCAGCGAGTCAGCCTCTTCCTTTTATTACCCAAACTTGATGACAAAGTGAACTACACTCAATGACTCCAGGGTCTCACTTCCAAAGTGACACCTGTTGCCTCCGCTTCCCCTCCCAAAAGACCAACCTGAGAGATGTGGGTTTCACTCTGCCAGCCTCTGTCTAGACACACACACCCACATAGGACTGAACCCGTATCAGCTGCCAGACACTGGCTTTCTGGTCAACCACACTGCAGTAACTTATAACTCAATGTCAGTGATTTAAACAAACAAAAAAACATCACCCTTTCCACATAAATGCCACCAAAGACTTACAAACAGGTGCCCCAGACCTCAGACTTCACACTTCCTCAGAGTGAGGCTGGTTGCAACTGTGGCAGTCTTCCTTAGATTTTTCTGATCTCATGGGATTCCCCCTCGTAGCATGGTGAAGCCTTCACATTGCCAGGTTAAGATGAGATTCCTCCTTTCTGCCCAGCAATTTGTCCTTGTTCTTCCCTAGTCAATTAAACCTCCATACACTGATTCATGCTTTTTTCAATCCCCTCTCCCTCCTCAGCTCATGGAAATTTTGCTTCTGACCTCCCATACTTCACTGACTGAGCAAATGTCTCCAGTGACACCCCCACCCCCCAACCCATCACAACCGAAGGCTTTTGTCACATAAGTTTTAGCCTCTGGACCAGCTCTCCTACTCTGTGTTCATAACACTTTTCTTCCTGCTTCGTGCCAACTGGCCTGACCACTCTGTTTCTCTGTCACTGGGACTTGCTCCCTTGACCACCTCTCACTGCCACAGCTCCCCTGGGTCCTTTCCCAATTTCATCCCATGGGCTTCTCCTGGGGCCTCATCAGTCCCAAGTTCAACCTCAAACTGAGCTCCATGTCTGATGACATGCTGGCTGCTTCACACACAGAGCATCTCCATGAGAGTCTGCTTGCAGGATGGACTCCTTGACCAAAACTGACAAGAACAAGAGAAAAGCCAACCAGTGCTGCCACTAAAGGGGAAGCAGAGGCTTTCAAGTATGACTTGGCTCATTACCTCATCCCTGCTGATCAGGTGATTCAAGGAACCACCCTGAGCCCCAGCCCCAGGGCTCCCGACAGTTGGGTTCCTCCTCCCCCAGTGCTCTCCATTCTGCTGCCCCTAGCACCCACTGCTCACTCCCCAGGTCAGTGCCACTGACCCAGCTGTGGCCTCATCAGCCCCTCCCTCCCTGGTCTCCTGACTTCAGATCCAATCTGTCAGGTCAACCCTAGGTGGCCTCCATGGTCTTTCCTTTCTAAATCCCAGTCTGATTGTGTCACTGATTTGTTTACAAATCTCTATTCCCCGCTCCAAGTGTCTACAGCAGTGGTTTTCAGACTTTGCTTGGGCGGAGGAGAGGGGGTCTTCCTTTTCGCATACAAAGTCTCTTATTGCCCAATATAGGAAACATTTGGTTGAGGCAAGGAGGGGACACTGTAGGCCTCACATGCCTTCCTCCAGCACCTCCCACCATAGCGTCCACCCATACGCACCAACACGCACACACATCTACCCACAAAGCGACTGCTCAGGCACCTCTATGGGGCTCCTAAGAATCCAAGGAGAACAGCTTGAGATGCTTGGAGTACAGAGGCAAAGCCAAGCTCACATTCCAGCAGATGGGGCTTCAGGCCATCTTTTCTATCTCGTGTCTCTTATCTCTCACCACTCCTATCTGGAACTCAACACCTGCCTACCCTTGATTTCTCTGTGCTTGCCAAACATGACAAACAATTCTGCACCTTTATGCTTCTCCTCCTGATGCCTGCTCGAGCTTCAAGCCTCAACTCAAAGTCACCAAATGTGTTGGTTTTCCTGAATCTGCTTTAACGACCCCATCCAGGGAAAACACTGTTGTCAGAAGAGTTATATTCACTGTGTCCCCAGAGCACGCCATCCACCACACCATCATCACACTCAGTGCCCTCCACTCAGCCACTGGCTTTCATATCTGCAGTTCCCTAAGGCAGGGACAAAGTGGTCTTCATCTCTGAGTCCCCGATGCCTATCACCACACCTGCCATGCTGAAGAGACTTACTAAATGTTCATTGAAATGAAGTAAGAGAAGGGTAACACTGGGGCTACAACCACTGAACCAGAACATCACTGGGACACGGAGTGAAGTCACGACTTTCTTTTTTTTCACCTAGTTTTCCCTTTGCTTAGTCTGGATACATTTGTTGGGCAAGTTCAAAAAAAAAAAAAAATCCTCATTCCAAATTGGCAAGATTAAAATAAAGAAGATTAACTGATGCAACCTAATTTAAAAGCATTAAGACTCAAAATGTGGCCCAGACTTTTGAAGCTGCTCTTAAAACCAGCCAGGAAGGGAAGGGATAAATATGAAATAAAGCGCCTTCTGTGGATTTCTTAGTACCGGAAGTTTCAGAAGCCGCTAAATACCCTGGATCCTACAGAACAGATAAGGTGCTCCCACTCCAGGAGCCTAACCCTCCTTGTAAAGTTCTCACATCCATTAGGCACCCAGAGAATCGCTTCTGCCCTGCTGGCTCTAGAGCTGTACTTGACAACGCGTGGACTGTCTACAGTGGAAGTGTACTGAAAACTCAGCTTCCCAGGTCCCACCCCGGAAGCCTGACTCAAGAATCTGTAGTGCCCAAGCCTGGGCATCCGTGCTATTAGGTAAGTCAGAAGCACAGCCCCAGAATGGCAGAAGAACAAGTGGCAAGAGAGCTATGTAGAGACCAAGACGAGCACCATTTAACTGGAGCAAATGCGGCAGGAGAGTCGAGAGAACAGGTCCTGAAGAGAACTACCCCCCACAGCTTGCACTTCAGGCACTCAAGCTCATCTCCCATAAATCACACCTCTGACTGTCAGAACAATGGCAGCCCCTCATTAGAGGTGAGCAGCAATGCAAGGACCCTTGGGCACTCCCTGCATCTCAGTGCCGACACAACCATACCCTCCAACCAAAACCAGTGGACTGAGCATCCACAGTACACCTGCCCCCAGCCCAGCTGAAGCAGCCACCAACAGGTGTCAGCTCTAATCTGGAGCCCAGCTGGACTCAGGGGCTGGGAGAGCACAGTCAGAGAGGGTCAGGGCTTGGGATACCTGGCCCCTAGGGACCCAGAGTACTTGCAGAGTCGTCAAAGGAGTCTGGACTACCTCCCACCAGACAGACTCACCGGTGGGCTGGACGTTGACCACGGTCCCCTCGGAACGCTTTCGGGTCATGGGGTACCACGAGCCATCCGGGTCCTGGATCCACTCCGTGGCCTCGCAGTAGAACTCGCCCTGGTCAGAGGGCTGCAGGTGGAAGATGGTGAGGCGGAAGGTGGTGCTCCCCAGCTTGTCCAGGTGCATCTCCCCCAGGCTCAGCCTCTGCGCGTAGTCACTGCTCGACTGTAGCACAAAATCCCGGCTCAGGGCGATGACCTCCACCGGCTTCTCGCCACCCCGCTGCCGGAGCCAGGCCACCGAGACGTGGCTGTGCTGCAGCGTCTCCGTGGATATGTCACATGTGAGCTCCAGGGGGTCCTGCTCCACTTTGTGCAAAGTCTGGGGCACAGCGCTGGCTTGCAGGGTGTCCGGGATCACTGCAACACAGGGACCACCCCAAGCACAGATCTTACACTCGAGGGGCCGAGTGCCAACCCACCCGGGCTTCCGCAGTTCCATGGGGCCGCGGAGGACCCCGGGCAGCACAGAAATAGAACGAGACTTCTGTCTGGATTTGGACTGCAACTGCTGGCACTTATGCTTCCTGTCTGGTATTTCAATAACACTCGGATAAAAAGTTGGGAGCAAAGGGATAAATTGGGAATTTGGGATTAACAAAGACACACTACTATATATAAAATAGAAAACAACAAGGGCTTATTGTATAGCACAGGGAACTATATTCAATATCTTATAATAACCTATAACAGAAAGCAATCTGAAAAAGTATATATGTGTGCGTGTGTGTGTGTGTGTGTGTAACTGAATCATTCTGCTGTAAACCTGAAATACTGTATATGAGCTATACTTCAATTAAAAATTGATAAAATAATGTTTGTAGACATTGCATTTCATTTTACACAATAAATGAACTCACTGAAAATAACATGTCAAAGAAATTTTATGTCAGGTGAAATAAGATTTTGCTGTTCAAGATGAAATTGCTTTCAGAAACTTTAACTTGGCTACTGACTCATCTTCAAACAAAAGGAGTTCCTGGAAGTTGGAGTGTCACATTTTCTATACAACTTGCTCATTTTCTCCTTTTGAGCCACTCCATGCCCATGTTCCCCCAACTCACGTCAGCAATGCAGTGCTCTAGAAAAGTTATTTCTTCTTCTTCTTTTTTTTTTTTTTAAAAAAGGGTTGTGGTAGAGAGAAACAGCAGGGTCCTCAATTTTTTAGTGGGTTTAATTTTCATATAACTCATGTGTCAACATGTGTTTGTGGGCTGGAAGGAAGCCATGGAATGGGGATGAGTCAGGCAAGCGATAAGATTACCTCTGTGGTCACTTGGTCACCATTTTACTCTGGAGACTAAACACCAACACCTTCTCTGATTTGAAGGATGGAAATTTTGACTTCTAGTTTTTATTATCTTAATTAAGCCTGGAAATTATGACTTGGACAGAAAAACAGAATGGCCTTGATATTTTTGACCCTTCACATTGGGAAACATTGTGCCCTAGAGCCATCCTCATGGAAATCTCCCTCCCTTCTCCCTCCCTCCTCCAGCTCCCTCCATCATCTGGGGAACACAGGGGTTAAAGGAGACTGGTACGCAAAGAGCTGGTGCACAATTCCTCACTCTGACGCCAAAGGACACACAGACCCACTCCAGGTCTGAGCAGAGTCCTGAAGCCACACTTGCTTCCTGACACCCCCGGTGGCTCAGAGGCGCCACCTAAAGGCCCATTATTTCCTGGAGGTTTGGCCTCTCCCTGCAGATGACACATGCTTCATCTTCCTCATCAGTTCTTCCGCTTATCAACCACAAGTGCCCTTGCCTTATATTTTTATATCCCCTTTCATCAGTTAGAGAGGGTCAGTTAACCTCCTCTTAAGTTCTTAACATCTGCATTAGATCTTCAAGTTGCAGCTTCAACCTTCTATTTACAAGAGAACACACAAAACTGGTTTCACCTATGGCTACTTGGCGACCTCTAAAATATTTGGGGAGCTTTGGATTCTTCTTTTAAAGTCAAATGCTATGTTATGTGCTCAGTTGCTCAGTCATGTCTGACTCTTTGCAGCTCTATGGACTGTAGCCTGCCAGGCTCCTCTGCCAATAGAATTTTCCAGGCATGAGTACTGGAGTGTGTTGCTATTTCCTACTCCAGGGGATCTTCCCAACCCAGGGATTGAACCTACGCCTCTTGCATCTCCTGCACTGGCAGGCAGCTTCTTTACCACTAGCGCCACCTGGGAAGCCCTAAAGAGTCAAATAACACTGTGCTATAAGCGAAGTGACTCAGTGTTATGGACTGAATGTTCGTGCTCTCCCCCGGCGCCCAGATTCCTGTGTTGAAACCCAATCCCCACTGTGTTGGTGTCTGGAAAGGAGGCCTTCCTTTGGGAGGTGATTAGGTCATGAGGATGAAGTTCTCATAAATGGGGTTAGTGCTGCTTTAAAGAAAAACTTTTGGCCGCACTGCCTGGCATGTGGCAGTTCCCCAACTAGATCCCTAGATCCCCAACCAAGGATCTAACCTGCATCCCCTGCATTGAAAGCACAGACTGCCAGGGAAAAAGATTCAGGGATTAGTGCCCTTATAAAGGGACCCCAGACAGCCCTCTTGTTCCCTTTCTGCCACGTAAGGAGACAAGAGAAAGTTAATACTCAGCAATCCCCATGAGGGCCCTCCCGAGAACTGACCACACTGGCACCCTGACGACTTCCAGCCTCCAGAACAGTGAGAAATAACTGCCTGTTGTTTAAGCACCCAGTCCAGTCCATGCTGATTTATTTTAATAGCTCAAACTCACTGCGCCACTCAGGCAGAACACCGGCCACATGCACACAGTCATCTCCTTACCCACGAGGTTCATCTTGGCGCTGTAACTCCCGAAGTACCGCTCGTCAGTGCTGGGCGTGTGGCACTCGTACACCCCGGCATCCCGGGCCTGGAGCTCAGTGATGTGTAATAAGGCCAAGTTCCCCCGCACCCTCTCCACGTAGATCTTCCCGCTGTGGACACGCTGCGTGTAGATGGCGTAAGGGAAAGAGGAGTCCACGGTGCTGACAATCTGGACCTCGCGTTCCGGGGCCGTGGGCATGTAAATGGACCACTGGAAATTCTGCTCGGAGGGCCCCTGGAAGCCGCTCACATTGCACCAGATGGTGACGTGAGAGCTCTCCGTGCGGAACAAGGGACCTTCCTGGATGGCGACCTGCCGCTGCGCTGCCACGACACCTGTGGGGACACACAACAGGCTCTCACTGCTCAGACCAAGATGCAAAGCAGGCCGCAATCTACAAAGGGTTTGTTATGCAAGTGACATGGTAACAATATAAATAACTCAGCGGCCCTCTCTGAGGCGCTCCGTGATTTATAAATATTAATTAAAACATCCCGTGGTAAGGCACTGTCCCTAATTTGCATATATGGGAAAGTGATCGTGCAAGGACATGGTCCTGTTATTTATTCAATGGCTGACCCTTGGGAATTTCATTTAGTCTCTCTGTCATTTAGGCAGCAGTTTTATATCTATTTATTAATGCTCTTTATAAAGTTTTTAATAAGACGAGCAGGGAAAGTTGCATCCTTGGCACAAATTCAGAGGAAAACAAAAGCAACCACCTTGCAATCTGGCTGAAATTAAATGCTCCTTTCTTGATTAGAGAGCTGGTAGGAGGGAGTCTTGGGTCCTTTCTTTGGTTCCGCACCCTTATTTGCAAAGGTAGCTACATCCAGGCCACCATGGACACATTCCTTACATCTTCTTCCCTCCACACGTGTAGGTGGAGCTGAGCTCCTAAAGGCGTTCACATGAACAGGAATGGGAAGGGCTGACGCAGAACCCTGCCGCCTAGATGCCCACACACCGCTGATGGGGGCAACTGTCAGTGCCGCCCCAAGTCAAAGAAGTTTCCAGGTTGCCCTGGAAACTGGGCTCTGATTCACCAGCGGCTGCCCTGCCTTCTGGCTGGGATCTGCTGCTTCAAGTGGCCTCTGCCTGCCTTCTCTATGCTCTTAACATGGTCCCCCCTCGCAGACTTGGGGACAAGAAAGATAGTGAGTTTGCTTTCTCATTCCATGCCAGCACAACTGACTCTGCCTGAACCACTGAGAAGGCGGTAGGGGACATGGCCCTGTGGCAGGTAAGGGCTAGTTGTAGCTTTGCTAGGACCTGGAGCTGGTGGTGCCATCTTGGACAAGCGGCTTTTCCTATCCTGACCTTGATCTCTTCATCCACAAGATGATTTCTAGGAAGGCTTTGGAGGGGACTAGCATGTGTGACTAGCTTTGTCACTTATTACCTGTGACCTTGGATAAGTGACTTAACCTCTTGAAGCCTGTTTCCTCATTCATAAAATGGGGATAATCATGTGTGCCTCACAGAGTTATCAAAAAGACTGAATACGACAAGATTTTAACACCCCAGCATAGGGCCTAGCCCATAATTAGTCCTTCAAGAAGAGCTGCTTGATCAAACCAGTCTATCCTAAAGGAAATCAACCCTGAATATTCACTGGAAGGACTGATCCTGAAGCTGAAACTCCAATACTATGGCCACCTGATGCAAAGAGCCAACTTAGAAAAGACCCTGATGCTGGGAAAGATTGAATGGAGGAGGTGAAGGGGACGACAGAGGATGAGGTAGTTGAATGGCATCATCGACTCGATGGACATTAGTTTGAGCAAGCTCTGGGAGTTGGTGACGGACAGGGAAGCCCGGTGTGCTGCAGTCCATGGGGCTGCAAAGAGTCAGACACGACATAGCAACTGAACAACAACAAAGGAAGAGCTGCTAATGCGGGCCTCTCCTGGCTGGAACATTCTATAGCTCTGGATCCACAGGGAACAGGATTTTGGCCAGTGATCCCTCAAGGGCAGGCCAATGGCCTCTTGACAATGACACCATCTCTGGGCCACCCACTTCCACCCACAGCTGCAGCCCATTCCCACTTTCATGAAAACTCCCCCCACTCTCCCTCCGAGAGGCAATCACGGCTGCCCCAGTGTAAATGCATGTGAAGTGGGTCCAGCTGGGGAGCAGCTGGAATGGCTCAAATCCTAGTGGGAAGCAGCTCTAAGCCCAGCCTGGGGGATGCTTGGGCCTTAAAGCAAACTGATCTAATCTAAAGCAGACCTTACAAGGAAAGGCCTGTGGCTTCTAAACTTTTATTTGTGCAGAATCTTTTCTCCCAAAGTCTTACATGGAATCCCATCTTGGCTTAAGCAATAGAAGCAAGGAAAGTAAAAAAGTGGGTAGGAGGGTGGCAAATCAAATCAAAGTGGTATGTCGATTTACTTGATATATTCTGGTTGACAGCATTTACTACTATATTCAAGATCACTGATAAACAGCTCATTAGTTATTTTCAGTATGTTAAAATGTTTACCTGCAGAATCCCCATGGACAGAGGAGCCTGACGGGCTACAGTCCATGGGGTCGCAATGAGTCGGACATGACTGAGCGACTAAGCACTATATATATATAATGACACTTGAGCCAAACGTTTGAAGTACTCCAGAAATGCAGAACTTTGAAAACAATATAACTACATTAATAACATTTAGGTCTCCCTGCATTTTAGTGTTCTACGACAAAATAGCCACAACCCATCCCCACCTGCTACAAAGAGGACTGGAGGCAGGTCAAGATGTGCCAGCATCTTTAAGCTAAGACTTAATCTTAGACCTGCACTGGAATCACCCAGAGAGCTTTAAAATACAACAGGGGCTGGACCCCACCCCATGTAACTGATCTGGTGTGCAGAAACCTGGGCATTAGGGTGGTTTTTTTTTTTTTTAAACTCAACACAGAGCAGTGTCAAGATGTCTCTATTGACAGAGTGTCAGCCAGGGGCTCAAACAAAAGACCAGATCCTGATTTAAGGTTCTCAATAGCTTTGAACACCTGCCTTCGCCAATGTGGGTCAAAAAAAGTTTTATTCTCCTCCTGTGAATGGGCAATAGAAAGCAGCTGAGGTCCATCAGATACTGGCTGCGGTGACGCAACGCTGAGCTCACCCAGCATGCATTCTAGTTACAGACCTTACAGAAGCACTAGATCAGGGGATCATACACATTATTCCACAGAAAGGTAAACAGTGTTAAGTGGCCTGAATGAGCCAGGGCACCAGGGTCAAAACAACTTGTCTCCTGTCGGAAGCTGGTTATAAACAGTCCTGACAAATAAACAAACAGATAGTAGACTGTACTTTAACCACACACATTCAGCTGCACCTGCTTACTAAATATCTCCTTAATTTCCTTCCCACTGCAGAAAAGGCCTTTGAATCCTGAAAATAATGCTGTTCTTAGGAAGTGGACCTTTGCATAGAAATAGAAGTGAACTTTTTCTTCTCAGCAGTCTAATTCCCCTTCCATACCCCCCACCTTCCCCGTTTCCTTCTCCGAGGACTGTCCCTGCTATCCAGATCTCATTTTCCTAAAGCTGTGCTGTGCTAAGTCACTTCAGTCATGTTCGACTCTTTGCAACCCTATGGCCTGTAGCCCACCAGCCTCCTCTGTCCTGAGATTCTCTAGGCAAGAATACTAGAGTGGGTTGCCATGCCCTCCTCCAGGGGATCTTCCCAACCCAGGGATTGAACCTGCGTCTCTTATGTCCCCTGCATTGCTAGGCAGGTTCTTTACCACTAGCACCACCTGGGAAGCCCTTCCTAAACGCTGCTACCTTCAAAAAGGCCCAGGTCCCCAACCCTGGCCAAGGCATTCTCTGACTCCACTGCACCTTTCATCTTCCCTCAGCCCACAACAGAAGGTTCCCCTGGGCTGGGATCACCTCTTTTTATAAATAATATTTTTTCTTTAGACATTTCTGTACTCTTGGAATTATTTTACAATAAGCAAGTATCACTTTTTAAATTAAAACAATCCAAGTATTAGACATAACTGTAATAAAAAGGACTAGACAGACACAAAAGACAGTAGAGTGGGAAACAAAAATAGGAACAAAAAACAAGGGCAACAAAAAAATTAACAAAAATGGTAGCTATTAATTCAACTATATCAATAATCACTTTAAAGGTCAACAATCTAAATGTACCAATTAAAAGACTGAGATTGTCAGCATGGATTAAAAACACGACCCAACAATATCTTGCCTACAATAAACCACTTTAAACATAAAGACACAAATATTAAAAATAAATGGGTGGGACTTCCCTGGTGGTACAGTAGATAAGAATCCGCCTGCCAATTCAGCGGACACAGGTTCAATCCCTGGTCCACATGCCTCAGGGCAATTAAGCCTGTGCACCACAACTACTAAATTTGCACCTAAAGCCTGTGCCCTGCAACAAGAAAAACCACTGTAAGGAAACCCCCACTCATTGTAACTAGCGAAAGGCTGCACTCAGCAATGAAACCCAGTGCAAACAAAAATAAGAAAAGTCAATGGGTGGAGAAAAATATACCATGTTAGTACTAATCAAAGGAGCTGGAGTAGCTATATTAATTTTAGACAGACTTCAAAGTAAGAAAATTATCAGGAATGAAAAAGGACATTACACAGTGATTAAAAGAGTTAATTCTCCAATAAGATATAACAGTTCTTAACTATGTATGCATGTAACAACACAGCCTCAAACTACATGAGGCAAAAAGTGAGACAACTGTAAGGAGAAACAGACAAATCCACTATCATAGTTGATGACTTCAACACCCTTCTCTCAGAAATGGACAGAATCAGCAAGCAGAAAACCCATAAGGAACAAAGCTGAACTCAACAATACCTTCAATCAACTGGATACAATAGACATCTACAGACTTCATCCAACAACAGCAGAATACACATTCTTCTCATGCTCACATAGAACACTCACCAACACAGACCACATTCTGGGCCATAAAACACCCCTTAACAAAAAATTTTTAGTAACTTATTTTCATTTGTTTATGTATTTATTTGGCTGCATTGGGTCTCAGCTGTGGCACGTGGGATCTTTCACTGCAGCACACACACTCTAGTTGTGGTGCCTGGGCTCAGGAGTTGTGGCATGTAGGCTCTCTAGCTGTGTTGCAAGGGCTTAGTTGTTCCGAGACATGTGAGATCTTAGTTCCCTAACCAGGGATCGAACCCACGTTCCCTGCATTGTAAGGCAGGTTCTTAACCACTGGAATACCACGGAAGTCCACCCTTAACAAATTTTAAAAAACAGAATGATATGATATCTACTGGCAGACCAAAATGGAATTAACCTAGAAATCAATAATAGATAACT